TTGCTTTATTTACACTCCAGTAAATCAGAAAGCACACCAAGACTTATTTTCACATACAAGAGTAATAGACCTGACCCCAGGAGACACTTAGTGAGGTTAACCCACAGCCCAGGGAGCAGGTTTATTATAAACTATCTGCAAGCTGATGCAGTTGTACTTGTTTTCAGTGGAGCTGATGTAAACTTGGAGCCACTGTTTGGTCTTCAAGTGGACTAACACCAGTCACTAAATAAACCAGTGGTCTGGCCCACCATGTTTGATCATTAATAGTCATCATTCAGATGGGAAATAGTCCCCAGGAAGTCCTCAGTGACATTTATCTCTAGAACTAGAACTAGGCTGATGCAGTCAGGAGTTGGCAATAACCAGAGAGAGCAGAGATCAGCAAACCATTTGGGGGCATTTCCCCTACCTTTGGGAAAATACGTAGATTTTCCCCTCCATGAAATGAAGCAGCTACTTCAGGTAGGTTTGGCAAGTTAATACGGGAATGAGAACTGTTGTACATTCAAAAGAGAAGCATTGTAGGAAACTATGTGTAATTTGCAGCATCAAAGCTTAGACAGTGAAGGGCTAAGATGGATGAAGAAAAAAAACATTTTTACCACACTACATAAAGTTATATATTTGGTACAACATTCTTTCCAGAAGCAGATCTTCTGAAAGAGAAGGGAAGGCAGGCATTATGTTATCTGTGAGAAGGTGAAGGGGTGTCAGTGTGCTTTATAAGCTGCTCTATAGTAGTAGTAGAAGAAAGTAGTTCAAGATTTTAATCTCAAGCCCATCAATGGCAAACAAATTCTGAGGCAAACAAGATTTAGCCAAAAATTAAAAAAACCTCTCAGTTGCAAAAGCACCGAGCAATTCTGGCCAGAAGAGAAGCAGCAAGAAGGGGAATATATTCCCAGAGTATCTCAGATACTTAGATGCCTTCTGAATTATCTCCCAACACACCCCACAAAGAAGAAACTTCTCCTACCCCATTTTAAAAAGAAGAAAAGTGGGCTCAGTGAGAGGCAGATTCACAGTTATGGGTATCTATAAGAGTTGCTGACCTTAGCCTACCTGCCTTTGGGCAGTCTGTGACAGAGAAGGTACCTGGGGGCAGGTTTCACATCTCTCCAGCAAGCTCCAGCCATTGGACTGGTCTCTGTGATGAAACCTATACATCTGTGCAGCACTAACCACCACTTACTGAAGAATGAGTGTCTGAAGTAGTAAAAGTAACAGGAGAGTCAGTAATAAGCACCAGAAATACTGTAAGTACAGCAAACTACTTAAAAATATCATTAACCTCTCCCAACCCTGCCCTCATCCCTTTCCTCAATCATTACTTCAGGAGTCATATATTTATATAATTATTTCATCATCTAAGAACAGGTGGCCAGCTTGCCATATCTCTATGCAAGACTTCCATATGTATTAGTCCTCTGCTGACATTTTCTCACATATACACACATGCATGGATAAGCAATTGCTCCACTACATTCTCAAACAGAGAATAAAAGACTCATAAATCTGAAAAAAATGAGTATGCCAGAAAGTTCAGTATCTGAAGCTACAGCTGTTCATTTCTTCTCTCTGTTCAGAAAGGGCCAGTTGTGGCTTATTGCAGATGTTATTCAAGTTGATGGACTTGCTCTAGATTTACACTGGATATAAATACTCAGGATGTGACCCACTAGAGCGTTGGACCTTCGTTTCCCCATGGAAAAAAATACAGCCAGTGACATTCAAGTAGAAAAGTGCTCCCCTCCCCACCCCCACCCCCTCTGTCTTCTGTCAAGTCCCTCTGTACGCAACAACACGAGAAAGAAGCAGTAACTCCACCAAGGAGTGGGCTAACGTTCCTCCCATCTGCTAGTCCCACACTCATTCTGTTTTCATTTGGACCAAATCCTCCCAAAGCCTTCTGCTTTATACTTCATTAAAGTTGGGTGCCTCAGACACCAGGAATAATATTGTTCATCTTTGAAAAGTAACTTTCAGTGCACATTTCCGTATCTTTTAACACCACTTCTCTTCCTCAGCCCTGTCTACAGTACTGTCATGGAAGCCTGTAAATGAATTCCATATTTTCCATATTGAATCTGTCCCCTAACGCTGATCTACTTATTTATGACAGTAAAAGCTTATGCAAACACCACCACCATGCAAAAACACTCCCCTCTTCATTCCCACAGATTCACGTTAATATTCTCCATCTCCAGAGTCTGGAGTACGTTCTGTGTTGAGGGCTGCACATTCCCATGCTGAGGTGCAATCCCTCCTGCCTCTATCTCTGCAGGTAAGGGAGGTAAAGGGATGTGCAGTCATAGAGAAGTTACAACTCTGAGACAAGGGCAGCTCCTGCGTGTAGGGGCACCACACCGCAGCCGGGGCCCTGCACAGGCTGCAAAGGCTGAGCGAGGCTGGCGCGAGGAGCCACCATGAGTGACAGCGTGGCTGCAGCAGCGCAAAGCAAACAGATCAGGCAAAACCAAATTAAGACTGGTCTAGTTGGTGCCTGAAGCCTAAAACTTTCATAGGGCAGACTGATTCATCCTAATAAATTGACTCACCTGTACCCAGCAGGTCAGCAGGGATGCCTGGCTTGGCAACTGCGGGAGGTAGGTAGCGACTCTTGGCTTGAATCCAGCCACAAAAAAAATTTCACACCCAAAGAGATAAGATAAAAAGGAAAGGGCAGAAATGAAAAAAGCCAAACAGCTTTCTTCAAGGAGCTCTCCAGAATGAAGAGCAGAAGGGAGCAGAGTTTCTGCCCCTGATAGTCTCAACAGCAAAACACCACTGGCAGCACTTGGTGTGAGCTAAAGGGCCATGCAGGTCTCAGGTGCAGGACGCTGTTTGTGTCTGCAGTTAAAGAAGAGTTCTAAGGAACCACAGCACAATGTCAACAATAATGATTCATCACATTCACTTTTCCTATATTCACTTGTCCTTACGTTGCCCTTGTGTCCTACTTTGCTAATGACAACACCAGCTCACATACAGGACGACTCCTCCTCCTCCTTCCAGTCCCCAAATGCTATGTCTCCCCCAGTGCCAAAAAATGTGTGGGGAGAAGGAAAGAGGTCCTCTCTAACCATCAGATAATTCAATTTTATTCCTCGCTTTTGTTAGCCTCAGTCCCAGTTTAAGAAAAAAAAAAAAAAAAACCCAACGCAAAACATACCAAAAACTCCCCCCGTGAAGAAGGCATGCTTTGTTTCTGTAATTCTTAGTTCCTCTGCAAAAAATTTTGAGCTTGTGAAAACACCCACAAAAAACTTCAATAAATAGAAACTGCCTTTCACATTATTTCTGAAAACAAATGCTGGGCTGGCTCCGACCCTGGTGCAGCTGCTCTGGTTTGGGAGTCTTGCCGGTGGGGTGTTTGGCCCTCTGCAATCTGGGCCACACACTATTGTGTGGGATATCTCATGGAATGGAGGAGCAAAATCAAAGGAAGTCAAACAAACTGATGCAGAACTATAATAGAAGAACGTTTCTTTTTCTGTATGCAATATTATTTTTAAAGAGATGCTGTCAGTTTTGTATTTCCAGACTCTAGTATATAGAAAGAAATCCTATCTCTATTAGGCAGTCCAAAACTATGGTACCGGTACTGAGAGGTGGGTTTTTTTAAAGCTATTACTTCATAATTTCCTTGCCACACCCTTACTCTCCCTTTTATATTCTCCTAGTTTTCCTTAAATTAATAGACCCCATTTTTGCAATGCCCCTAACAGATTCAGAGCAAGAGACAAGCACCTTTCATAAAGAAAAGTGACAGCTGACCCATGCAGTTTTAGGCCTTTGAAATGCATCTCAATTGTGCAGAAAGGGCCTGAGATAATCGGAAAATTTCATAGTGAAAATTCAGAGAGCACATCTATATCCAGGTATGACTATAAAGTTGGTGCGCTTGTTCTCAGTACCAACTACCGTATGATCAAATGTTTCCAGATAAGACATAAATAGAACATTTCTATTCAATAGCATCCTGTTAAGCCTGCCACCAAAATCCAAATTTAGAGGACTTCAGATACCCAAGGAGTTGGTGTCTTAGATTTTCACACTTCTATAACATTAGGTAACTAATGTATAAAAGTGTAGGCTGATGGGTGCAGAAGGGCTACAGCTACCCATGCTGGGGGAGAGCCTCACACAGGGGTCAGGACTCTGCTGTGCACAGAACCCCATTCTCTACTCTGAACTGCCACAGAGTAAAGTGCCAGTTTGTTGCATAAAGCGATGAGCTTGACAGGGAGGGTTACTAGAGCAGCAAAGCACAGGATGCTGAGACTGGTCCACCCAACGTCTAACTCTTAACTTGCAGCCAGCGTGGCTTTATCTTAGTTTCTCTGTCTGGGAAGCAGTGTTTTCTAAACACTGTTTCTAGGACTCTTGAGACGTTTAAAAAAAGAAAAAAAAAAAAAGTTACAAACTTTCTTTCTAATCCTCTGCAATCCCAAACACAAGAGCTGAAAAGTCCTTGTCCTTCAGCTGTGGTTCAGTCTGTTTTATTAAAGCAAAGAAAAAGTAAAACCAGAAAAACAAACAAAAAGTATCTCCTCCTCTCCTTGCTTCTTTGTAATGAAAGATAACATCTGTATCTGTCTTCTAAAAGCCTAGCAAGTATCTCAAACGAACGAATCTGAAAGCTTTCACACAGTATTCGGTGGTCCAAGAGCAGTTTTAAGGCAGGATAAATCTTGCAATACACAGATCAGAACACGCAAGAGGCAGGAAAGTAAAGGCTTAGCGTGGCTCTGAATCGGCTGGGGGTAAAAGACCCCTGACGTGACAAAAATCCAACAAATCCTCAACTTACAAAGATCTTCCACTACGCCGCGTAACTCCGAGTGACCCCCTCTCCCCGCCACACACCCAGAGGAAGGCACCAGACCCACCGCGGTCCAGCCACTGCTTTACCCATCCCACCTCCCGGGCGTTCCCCCGGGCACGGAGCGCCCCCGCCGCCGCGCAGCCAGACCCGCGGCACAAAGCCCTCGTACCGTCCCGAGCCGGCGTCCGGCGGTGCTGGGAGCGGCGGCTCCGCGGCGACAGCCCTCTCCTCCCGACACCGATCCGCGGCCAGGGAAAGCGGCGGGGCCCGGGCAGCGCTCCTCCTGCCGGGGGGGCTCATGCCAGAGCGGGGCACCGCATGGCAGCAGGAATTACTGGAGGAAGAGAGAAGGGGAGAGCCCGGCCGCCGTTACCGCCGGGTGTCACGGTGATCCCACCCCTCCCGCGGGCTTTTCGCGCGTGGAGCGCCGTAACTC